CCCACCGTCCACCAAACGATATACTAACCTAACAGTACAGTTAATATGACGACTCTCAATGACAAATTGCCGTGTCATTACACACTGGTTTGGCTTTCAAAGGTTGTTAGCCGGGTTTTTCGGGCGACTTCTCGACATTATTAAAATCCCATTTGTTATTTTCCGGGGCATTCAGCGCCGCGACGCGCCGAAAACCGAACCGTTCGGTTCATCGACATGCTACTGTGCTAAGTTGGGGTGTCTTGAATGTTAGCAATCAAAGTCAACCAACCGTTTAGGCACAAAGAAGTTTTAAAAAAATATGAAAGACGATGGAATAGTTCAGTTTCTGGCTTTATATTTGAAGAGTTTTAGAATTTTTTAGTTAGTTTTAGGACAAAAGTGTGGAACAAATTTATTTAAAAATGGGCTCATTATTAAATTATATGATACACACAAAAAAACGCTTTGATATAGTCAATAACAATGCAATAATTGATTGTTTTTCATTTCTCCAATAAAAGTAAAAGTTTATTTAATCAAATATATTTGGAGCAATTATTAGAAATATTATATTTAGCATATAACAAAATATTATCACAACACACATCGGCAACCTGCAATCGCGTACGTGCTCTCTAAAAATGAAATAGTCAAAATTCTACTATTTGAATTAGTACCAGCATTTTTTACTAATAAAATAGTCGTTTTCACTTTTAAATAGTTATTTTTTACTACGTAAATAGTTAAAGTTTGACTAATTTAAGATTAGTCACCATATTTGACTATTTCTGACAGTTAAAAGCATGCCCTGTGCACTCGCCTTAAACAAACAAAATCCACATTTTTGTCTAGTCGACTTTGGTTTTAGTTTACACTCGGGAAACATGTGGCAGCAGCGGCGATTAATCTTGACGGTTGCTTGGTAACGAAATCAACAAACTTCAGGTTGATAAATTTTGTAAAGTTTTGTAAATTCATATTGTGTTTATTTGGTTTGTTCTGTACGCTTAAAAACTTTTAAAATTGCGATTTATCGTTATGTGTGTACTCTATTTTTAAATATTGCTACATTATTTGAACATTAACATGGTGTTGTGCTGTGCTGTGGGCTGCTCTAACAGTCAAGTTATGATGCATACTTTTCACAATGATGACAAGGTTGTATTGTATTATTCAATTATAACTATTTTATTAAAACAAGGTACTTACACAAATATGGTACATAATATTATTACTTTATACTGATTTGTGTTCTTTAATAAGATAAAATTCACTTGAATACATTATTATATTGTTAATTGGTTTAGTTTAGTAAATACCTTGAATAATTTAAAATATAATACATTTATTTTTGCTTTTCAAATAAACAATTTAAATAAACTATCAGGCCTTTTATTTTTTACTATTTTGTCTGTCAAAATTTGACAGGATAACCTAAATTAAAACCATAACCTAAAACCAATAAATGTCAGGCGGGTACACTAGCGGCATAGCGGGCCGAGTGTGCGTAACAAGGAGCGTCAAAATATGTGACAGTGGCGTATCTATATGATTTATTATCTATGGTTAAAAGTAACTAATTTCTTTAATCGTTTACGGCCAACAACAAAGTAATATTTGAATTAAATGCATATACCTCTCCATGGTTAAATGACCCATAAAACAAATAAAGATGCACAAAGTTTAGCTCAAAACAGTAACACAAATAATATATTAAACTTTAAAATATTATGAACAATATTTATTGACAAATAAAATTTATTTTTATAAGAGCGGCTGACAGCCGACTGGTTATGAGGTTAGGTTGACAAGCTTCTCAAGTGTCAGACGTGAGTTCAATCCCAGGCTGGGTCAAAACTTTTTTTAAATTTAAATTTACTAATTTAACTATTATATTTAGTGGAATTTGACTAATTATTAGTGACTGCTTTTTCGCTATGACAATTAGTCAAATATGACTTATAATTAGTTATTTTTGACTAATTCATTTTAAGAGAGTGCGTTTAGTTAAATGTGAGCAACTCAATCGGTATTTCTGGTGACGGCGATTGATGTAAGTGTTTGGTTGTTTGTTATATTTGCTAATTTCTTGAGGGTTGTACTTCCTAATCCCTAATTTTCAAGGTAAGTTGTACATGTTTTTTAATTGTATGTCCGCCATGCAGTATCCAGTAATTTAATTACTTAATTATATCTAAATGATAACAACACAGAGGTATATACCATGGACACAGTTTATCTTGATATTCGGTGTCATGCCTTAAAAATGGCTATTTTGCTTGAATGGACGAAGTTTTTATTTATTTATAAAAAAACTTCTCATAGTCTTTCAGTACCATCATGATATCCTTGCAGGGCGTCATAAAAGTATATATTGCTATAGGACTTTCAGCAATCTTTAGGATTCGCCTCTAAATACATAAGATGAAATTCCTATTTCGTTTTAGAATAACCATGTGCCATGGCAGACAGATCCTGCACATCCAGTACAGTAACTTGCTAGTGATGGGTTAGCAACTTTATAGAGCCTAATATCACCAACACTTCTAGTGGGTTCCTAATAGTTCCTACAGAAAACAGAACAATTTTATTTTATAGATCGAAAAACCTGTGTACAAAAGACTAGACGCAGTTTCCAGAATTCATTTTATTTAAAGTTCATATAAATGTATTATACAAGTAATATTTGCACAAGAATATATACATATTTAAAGAAAATAGAGCTTTGATTGCATTTAATGTAGCCATTCATTAGAAACCATAACTTTATTTATGCCAATGATAGTTTTTCATTAAGATTCATTGTGGCTTCAATTAAAAAACAATTTAATTCAATAATTTCAAAAAACAATTTAATTCAATAATTTCCTATGTTTTAACTAACTAAGTTTTAATACGGATTTAATAAAATTATAATTTCATTCAATGACTTCTTATGTTTGAACTAATTTTAAGCAGGTTTGCACAAATAAATGTAAGACAATCATTTATTTGATTCACAATATGAAAGCTTTTTCTCTGTGTAACAAAGAAATAAAATATAAAACACTTGCTTTTTGTAGAATAACAAAAAACTGTTTGACCTTGAAATGGAATATTTTGGAAAAGTTTAGGAACATTTCTTCAATAAACACTTTTTAATTTTATCAAAACAGTATTTTAATAAAAACTATAACACATCAAAACAATATTAAAAATTATAAATTTTCCACTTTTAATAATTAATATTAATATCAGTCCAAAAGTTATAAATGTGCATATTAGGGTGGGCCAAAAAAAACTTTTAATTTTCTTTTCTTTAGCTACCATGAAAATATCGTCCAAGATGACGAAAAAAAAATTCTGATAAAGTTTGAGCTCTTAATATCAATTAAGAGGTGGGTCATCGCGATGTTTATTTTCCATTTAAATAACACGGGAAAAATATTTTTTTTGTTTGGAATTTGATTGCGTTTTATAACGAATCAGTGAGTTGTAGAAATTAATACATATTCTTGTAGAAAATTGAACGATCTACAAATAAGATCTGATATGATTTTTTGCATAGTCGACTCTTTTAAAAGTTATTTGAAGTTAAAGTTCAACTTCAAATAGTAAATGATGACTTTTAGAGTTTTTCTTACTCTATAAGGAAATATTGTCTAAAACATGAAATATCATATTTTTCGTGTTTATCGAGTGTTCTTCTGTAAAACAATACAATTTTTACGAAATATCAATAATCGTGAAAAAACCGTTTTTTCCTATATTTAATTTTTTTTTAATTCTTTATTTGAGTAATGACAAAAAAATTAATCATTTTCTTAAAAAATAATAAATATTCTATTTACACTTGACTATTAGGTAATGTAGAGTAATAAAAGCCATGTTTCAATAATTTTTCAATTAAAATAAAAAATGTTATTCCATAATTTGTACTTTTTCACTATCTTAGAATCAAACTAAATTTTTCTTGTTACAATTGGGATATTTTTGCCGGGGGTTTTTAACTACTCGCAATAATTATCAAATATACATAGGTATATATTTAATATATTTAATTTACCCATTGACTTTATCAATAAGAATGTAGAATTTTGGACACAGGATGAAAGCTATCAAGATAATCTAGTATTTTTGATAAATTATTGAAACATGGCTTTTATTTCCTAATAGTGAAGTGTAAATAGAATATTTATTATTTTTTGAGAAAATGATTAACCTTTTTTTGTCATTACTTATGTAAAGAAAAAAACACGATTTTTTTAAAATCAAGTATAGAAAAAACGGTTTTTTCACGATTATTGATATTTGCCAATATTTCGTAATAGAGTATAAAAAACTATAAAAGTCATCATTTACAATTAACCTCAAATAACTTTTAAACGAGTCGACCAAGCAAAAACTCATATCAGATCGTTTAATTCCCTACAAGAATATATCGTGGGCTGAGAACCATAGGGTTCCAAGCTCCACAGACATAAATTTTCAGGAGACTAATTTTAAAGTTTGCGCGTTTATATATCAATTATCACAACAGGAAGCTCGCACAACTAGGGCTTAAAATTTTATTAGATATTTTGACAACACTTTCCCAGAATATTATTACTTTCGTCACAGCTGCAGGTATTTGTTTTAATATTTTTGTTAAATTACCCAAATTTACTTGGAACCTTATGGCACTGTAAGCAGTGTACTTGGAACCTTATGGTTCTCTAAAATAAAAAGAACGACAAAATACATGGAAACATCGAAAAATATGATTATATAATGTCTCGTCATTAGAGTGTCCAAATTCAAAGAAGACAAAAAAAAATAAATAAAAAATTGGTAGATTTAAAAAAAATTATTGTTAGAAAAATACCAAATAAAACTTAAAAACGGAATCAGATTCAATTTTTTTTATTAATAACAACAGATTCATTATTTTTGTTTTTTATTGAAATCGGATATGATGCTTTTCATGTATTCCTTGTCCTGAAGTGGCATCCATTTATATGCAAACTGAATATGTTCTATTTTTTGCTGTGTCATTGATTTTACTTTTCCTGAAATGACTGGTGGAATAATGGAAGGAATATCACTTTCTTTTGCTTTTCCTTTTCTTTTAGGTTTAACAGCAGGTTTGATGTTACAAATGGCGCCTGGTGATTATCTTTTTTAAATGCGACATGGTAAGGTTCACCTTGTAGGAAACGCAGTTGGCTAACTTTGTCGTATTGATAAAAAGAAGCAACATGTTGAAAGTTTTTAAAGTCCGCTAATTTCATATTGATAATGTGAAATGCCTTTTTCCTGTCTATTTTTAACAGAATTCTTATCAACGACAAAGGCGACCAAATATCTGTGACTTTCATTGCTTTTTCAATTCGGGAGTGAATATTGTCTACAACTTGTATACAGGAATGTCCGGGAATAGAGTATTTCATAGTAAAGCATGAAATACCTGGATATCTTTTTAAAAAGTCAGCGACAGCCACAGAAATTAATGAATTTCGATTCTGTGGCACACAACTGTCACTCCAAGTTACTATTTCAGTTATATTAGGATGGATTAAAACTACTTTTTCCAAAATTTGTATAAAAGCACTCGATATGTCATTGCCTGACCTGCCACACATGGTCTCAGACCACATTGCACAGAAAACATCTTTACCAAGAGAACAGTGAGCAGTTAAATTGTATACAGTTAATTTTTGTTTATAAAATAAAACTGACACTTCTGATTTTGGTAAATTTATAACATTTTCCAGATCAAAGCAAATTACCGCACGATTAGGATTTTTATTTTTTGTTTTATCATTCTCACGTTTCTGACGCATCCAATTTTTTTTGTCAATGTGGGATTTATAATCACTTTCTTTTTTGTCATCAACTCTTTTTTCTTTTTTAGCCAGATTATAATCTTCACAAACATCACATCTATCTGTCTTTGGCTGCAAAAACTCCAAGTTAAAATTATAGTTGAAAATGTGTCTGTACAAGGACAATTTTTTTGGTTCGATTTGTTCGTTGTTGCACTTTTCGACATAAAGGTCATACATCTTTTGAACGTTTAAAGTAGGGTCAAGATATTTCTTCTTTGAATCTTTGCGGCAGTAATAAGACTCAACACATGGAAATGCTTCTATGTGTTGTTTTATTCTGTTTTTATCTAACTCATTTATGCGATCTTTTGTATTTTTTCCTCTTTTATCAGTTTGAGTGGTACCTGAGTCACTTTTTTTAAGATGCACGTTATATATGGGTTTTTGGCTTATGCAAAGAGTATTTAAAAAAAAAGGTTTGCATACACGTTTGGGTTCATTGTTTATTTGAAAATAATATTCAAAGGAAAAGGACTTATAATTTGTTTTGGAGCTTCGTTTTCTTTTTACTAAGATTTTTTTGGTCATATTGAGCAAAAACGCATATTTTCCGTTTTGGTCAAGGGAGTAATAACTATTTTTAATTTCCATCCTTATTTCTTCATTGAATAATTTACAATTATAACGACATTTTTCGCCACAATCTTTGTCTGTTTTAATTTCCCTAGCAACAACGGCTACACCTTTGGCATTGACATAACGTAAACCCTTTTGATACTTTTCTTTTCTTTGATTTTTCTTCCATAAATGTGGATTTCTTTTACGTTTTCTTGTTCTTAAAACTTCTTTTATTGGAGTTTTGTCTGATTCTGATTCAGTAGATGAGTTACTGTATTGCACCAGCCGATTAACAGGATTCCTTAAAAATTAAACAAATAAAAATACTGCATAAACCCAAAATTATTTTTTCCTTACGATATTATTGTAGACAGAGTAGAAATCTGTCTATTTTCACTTGCAGTATGACTTGTTGATGGTTCTCCCGCTTCAAAGTTTAACCTACAAAAAAATGTTTACTTTTGTGAAACAATTAAGAATAAACTAAACTCGTACCTTTTCCTAACAGCTTCCTTTGTTATTATATTTCGACACAAAATCTGCACAATATAACACGTATTCTGACACAATAAATTACTTGGAACCCTATGGTTATTACCTGACGTATGCCACCAGAGCTTGAAACCTTATTTCCTTAACTACCCTGGCGCCATCTATCACAGTATAGTAAAAGTTTTAATAGCCCATTATGCGAAATGTTTTATAGAACAGATTTCTGCACAAAAGTAAAATTTGAACAAAATGTCGCTTGGAACCCTATGGTTTTCAGCCCACGATATATTAATTTCTACAACTTACTGATTCGTTAAAACGCAATAAAATTACAAACAAAAAAATGTTTTTTTCCCGTGTTATTTAAATGGAAAATAAAAAATCTTATTATTAAGAGCTCAACAGCTCGACATCTTGGACGATATTTTCATGGTAACTAAAGAAAAAAAAATTAAAAGTTTTTTTTTGGCCCACCCTAGTGCATATTAAAGAAAAATGGCGGAAAATATGAAAATTAAACATCAAGGATTTTTTTAACAAACAAAATTAGGTTTGTTTGTATTTAAAACTCTTCCTCTTATAAACAAAAATCTTGGGGTATCATATATCCGTATATTTTCGAAACCCGACGTCCTGTTTACCTTCTGGCCACGATATACATTACAAAGGCATGGAGGAGTTATCTTAGAAAGGCCAGGCACGATCCGGGCACAAGCAGAGAAAGAGAAACAAACGGAAAGCTTAACAAAACAAACGGAGGATCCGGCGCTCTTCAGCTGTTCATTGTGCGTGGCTCACTTGACGGAAAAAAAGGGCCAATCAACTTAAAGCACCCCCGGATAAGTTTACGAAAAAACTTACCGGCAGTGTTTACTTGATAAAGTGGGATTTGCCGGATTTGCTAATTGATTTTGCGTTTTGGAAAAGTAAGATGCCAGATTTATTCATTTATTAAAGTTTAAAGTTTAATATTCATAACCTGTTTAAAAGTTTAAACTCCATATAACCCAGTTTTCAACACTTTACGAGCGCTATCTACTTATGTACATATATGCAATTTTGGTATTGAAATTTTTATATTTATTTCGATAAAGTTTTAGATTTAATATTGAGAGCGTTTAAATAAAATTCTAATGGTTTAAAATCCATAGCAATGACAATAGTAGATTTAGATTTAGATTTATTAGTGTTAAAATACATAGTATATACACACGTCAGAAAAATATATGAAATATTTAAATACAATGAATAAAAAATATTCATGAAATACACTAAATATAAATAAATAAATAAAAAACATTACATAATTTGATTAAAATCATCACATAAGATATAATCTTCAAAAGAAAAGAAGGCCTTTTTTAATAAAAAGATTTTAAAATGTTTTTTAAATGAGTTTAATTCCATGTTCCTTATGTCACGTGGTAGAACATTAAAAAATTTAACACCGAAAAAATTTATAGCGGTAGTATAGTATATTAAAGAACTAATGTCATAAGACGTCATTTTGTCGCACGCGGACAATTTAGGTCTTATGACATGAGTTCTATCTATTTTGCAAAAATTCTATAAAAAAAAAATAAAAAAATTTATACCTTAAATTTAATTTGGTCGAATTTTACTTTAGATAGTTGGTATCAAAGTCATTGGTTTGACAGTTAATGTCAAAATCGATTCGCCATGCCGTCCTTAATTTACTTATTTACAATAAGCGGCTGTTAATGTTAAAGAAGAAAAAAAGGATTTCTTTGGTGTTAAACAAAATTTATTGCCACAAAAGTCTCGTAAGTACTAGAAAAATCAAAAAAAAAATTATAACCAATATGCAAAATATTATGCTGTTTAAAGTATAGCCAACCTATAAAATCGAAATTTTGGGTGGGATAAAGTATCTCATTACAGCACCGAAAGCGGTGTTATAATGAAGTCATTATGAACGCAAAATAGATAAAATTTATACAGTATTTATTTATCGTTATCTTTCCAAATCCTACAGGGATATTTCTTAGAAGGTTTAACAGGCGAAATGTAATTTTGCCAAGAGTAAATTTCCATTGGCTTTTATCCCGTACAATCGTAATATAATTACGGCAATTTGGCTAATGTTTTGGAAATGGGCGAGGGTGAGCCTGCGTGGACTGAATAACGGTTTTAATGTCGCTTAAAGTGAACACTCAATTTTTTTTTCGCTTTAAGCCACGGCAATTTGTCTCGATTATTATGTCGAGACCCGACACAAAAAATTCAAATATATAATATTAGACATTTTTACACAGATTAACAGGTACAAGTTTGCAATTTATAGACTTAAAAATGCTTTTTATTATTAAGATTTTTAAAATTCCTATGTACGTACTATGCTCCAAACCTCAAAGTCCCACCACGTGACCACGTACGGAACGCAGTCTTTTGAAAATTTAGGCATTTAAGGCTTTTCAGGTTATGTATCTGTCAAAGTATAGTCAATGAAAGAAATAATATTTATAGTGTTACCGCTTATGTTTAAGCGTTAAAAGTTAATAAATCTTAATAGTATCACAATAACAATGGTTGGTTTAAGAATTTAGGAATATAAATACTGCATTTAATGAAATTCCAAAAGTGTAAGGTGCAATATAAGTGATATTTTTGTGCATTGGGTCTACATTTCTCCATAAAATAGTTTTAACTAAACAGCATTTATTAAAAAAAATCTAACTTCTCTATTATGAAATAAGAATATCTGTATCAAAGGTAGGTTAATGTATTAGAACAAAAAATATCATCTAATTTTGTATTTTAAGGTTAGAAAAATCTATTTTGACCAAAATAAATAAGTGGATTATTTGAAAGAGTGTGTTAACATGGTCATAAATATATATATAGGTATACTAAATAATTGTTGAATATAGTTTAAATTAAATTGAAGCTTCTATACTTCTAATGACAAAACTTGTGCATACCTCTCGGCATACTTACTTTAAGTTAGATTATAAGAAAACAAACAATTTTTAGAGAAACTTGCAATGTGAAAATATTTAATACTCCCATGACATGTGATTTATTAAAAATTTTAAAGTTATAATGATTTTTGATGTAGATCAAATTCAGTCGAAGCTTTTTAACTATTTGTATTGACAAAACTTTATGTAGGTACACTTTAAGCTGGATAAGAAAACTACCACATTTTTAAATACCATATTATACAGTCTTTTAAATAGATACTTATTTATTTTGGTCAAAATAAATTTTTCTAACCTTAAAATTACAAAATTAGATAATATTTTTGTTATAATATATTAACCTACCTTTAATACAGATATTCGTATTCCATAATAGAGAAGCTAGATTTTTTTAAATAAATGCTGTTTAGTTAAAATTATTTTATGGAGAAAACCAGATATTTGGACCAAATGCACAAAAATATTACTTATTTGGCACCATACACTTTAGAATTTCATTAAATGCAGTATTTATATTCTTAAATTCTTAAACCATCCCTTGTTATTGTAATGTTATAAAGATTTATTTCGTTGACTATACTTTGACAGATACATAACCTGAAAAGCCTTAAATGGCAAATTTTCAAAAGACTTCGTTCCGTACGTGGTCACGTGGTGGGACTTTGAGGTGTGGAGCATAGTACCTATATTTTTTGTGTACCTTACATTACCTATAATAAAGGGTCAGTGAAAGCCTAAGTAACATATGTGATTCTTAAATTTTACCTAAATACTATATCAAAGCCTTGTCACACTCTTTAAAACGTTTGGGTTTATAACTACCATTTAGCTTTATAGAGGTGTCAGAGGAGGTTTTATGAAAGCTGTGAGAACCTGGTTACAGCAATAATAAAACCTAATGTTACTTGGGAGGTCAAAGGTAAAATAGTAAAAAAATAAAAAAGTTGAATGTATGGACTTGTTCATTTTAAATTGGGCACACTTCCTTGTTACAAAGTTTCCAAATTGAAATCCCTACTTTTCCTTCAAAATAAATTGCGCATTAATTTCAAATCAGTGCCCTTATAAATTTCCGGGTAAATACCGTTTAATACTTTGAGAGCAAGGCGTAGAGTACATTAGACATGTAGCAGCGGCAGCTTGACAGCAGGGGTAGGAGGAAGAAAAAGGACCCCCCTGGAGACTTTCTCGGCCGACTTTCATATGGGAGGCGACGCGTCGTGACGCAACGGAAAAGGACGCTGCAGCGACTTTGGCCTCGACGTCGTTTACATTTTAAATCGGGACGCCCGTATACGTATACTTTGCAGTAACAGTGTGTGTATAAATGCAATTTATTAAGAAAATTGAGGATAAATAAAACGATTTGTGAAATAAGATTAGGATCCCCAAGTAGCACAACCGGTTAAATTAACGTTAAATTTACGTTATGCCTGGTTAATTTGTTTAAGTTATATTGTACTACAACGTTAAATTAACCTTATGTTACTTCTTAGTTAATGTAACTTTTGGTTAAAAAGAAAGTAATATTTGGTAGTTTTTGGTTTGTTTTACCCTTTATTAACTAGTTTTTGTTTCTTAAGTCAACTTAAACTATATACATATTAGGGTGTCATTTTTAAGCAACTTTTTTTTTCAACTAAAAAATCGGCTAAAAAAAATCAGGAAGGTGAAAAAAGAAACCTCTAAAAATTTGAGCTCTTGATATTAACATTAACATGGAAAATTTTTTTCTTTTTTCTTATTTTTGTAGCTTGACATTTGAACATTGTAAAAACGAACTGAAAAATTATTTTGGTAGGAAATTGAACGCACTACAAGTTTCAATATATTTTTTCATAGAGTGAGCCGTTCTGAAGTGGCCTTTAACATTTCGAATCGCGGCACGTTAGCGTGCCTCTACTCACTGTTTAATCCGAACGGTAATATACCGACTGAGCCGATATAATCTATTATCAGAGTTATCGACTTTAAAATTATAAAAAATAAAGAAAGATTAAAAATTC